AAAACAAGACACCACTACATACCGAAGGGTTAATGTCCAAACCACAACCCCCAATGCTGGTGAGGGTATGGCCCTCACTGAGGGCAGGAATGCAAAGTGGCAACAAGCCATAGCACAAACAATTCCTGGAGAGGGGAGATCTGATTTGAGTATCTTGCCTATTTTATGTATTTCTCTTTCAAACTTCTTGTGACAAGCAAAGAATGATATTCACTTAATTCCTAATGTGACATAATGGGAGGAGAAAATGAGTGGTGGAAATAAACTGTAATGATTGGAAATTTCCAAATTTAATGAAATATTTATCTACATATCCAAGTAGCTCAAGGGGATGATAAGCTAAAGGAAAGCCAAAATCTATCTGTGAGAAGCCAAAGTTAACACGAGTGTCCTTTAAATGGCAAGGAAAGTGACACGTGATTTGAAAGAAGTGTTAAATAAGAGTTGATTTTTCAACTGGAAGTAATAGGTCAATATTTTGCAGGGTCAAAAACTTATAAAAAAAAAAACTATCAACAAAGCATTCTATATTTAGCAAAGAAATCCTTTAAAATAAAGAAGAATTAAAAGAAGTCACTGTAAGTAAATAAAAAATGTGAGAATCCGTTGCTACCCAATCTTCCTTCCTTCCAAGATATAGTAACAAAGAAGAATTCAGTACCTCTGTAAGTTTGCCTTCAGGAACAAACATTTCAGACCAGCATATCAACAAGGAGCCAAAGTTCTTGGGCAACAATGCACTCTAAGACCTAATATGCATCTATAGAATATCTAAAGATATTAAATTAGTAACAAAACTATTGCCACAAAGTAAAGCTCAGATCTAATTAAAAGTTAGTATCATTCCTGCACAAACTTCCCCAAAATACTAGTAGAACACTTCCTAATTCATTCTAAATGGCCCAGAACCAAAAACAAATCCAGCTCAACAAAACTAAATTAGTATTTACAAGTAGTTAAAAATCCACAGCACATAGAAATGTAAAAATTACATGCCATAAGCAAATAGCTGTTTGAGAAATAAATGGCTGGCTCAGTACCTAAAAATCATGTGACATACTGTATTAAATGGATGAAAGGAGAGGAAAAACATCTCAATGGACTCTGGAAAAGCATTAGATAGAACCAGCATGCCAACAAGATAAAAATGTTCAACAAAGCATGAATAGACAGGAACATCTTCAGATTGAAAAAGGAAATATGGTTGGGAAACAAACAAACAAAAAAACCAACGAAACAAAACAATTCCATTCCTGACCTTAAAAGATGAATGTTTTCCCCCTAATATCGGGAAAAAAAAAAAAAAAAAAAAAGACATAGCTATTGGCTCTCACTACTTCTATTCAACACCATGCCAAAAGATGTAGCCATAGCAATTATTGTGCAAGAAACAAAACTATACGGATCGAAAAAGAAAAAGTAAAACTATCTGTTCTCAGATGACAAAGTATAAATAGAAAATCCTAAGAGCGCAGTAAAAGTTAAGTCATTTGCATAACAATGGAGAGTTCATGGTGTGTGAAAGCTTACAATAACACAGTATAGTAAGCCAAGAGGCCACAATTTTTATAAAATATAGATAGAGGGATCAATGAAAAGGAGTTGATTCTGCTAAACAGCCCAAGTCTCAGACCAGCAACTTAGAAATACTTCATTTAGAAATGACAACGAAGAGTGAGGACAAACACACATCCCCATATCCAAACAGTAAAATACTAGGACTCCTAGAAAATAAGAATCTGACCTACAAAAATGCTACTATGAAAGTGTGAAAGAAATACATTTAGTTAAATGCTAGATTTGTTATAATTAGCATAAGTACAAGGAGGGCAAGGCTGTAAGTTTGTTAGGATAGAGAGAACTCCAGATGGCATAAAAGTTTTAGGAAAGGAAAGCTCTTGGGAGAACACCAGGGAACAGACAGAGCCATCATTCTGAACCACTAATGCCCCAATAGGCCTAAGTTATGGCTAAGACACAATGCTATGATGAACTATGATAACAATAGTGGCTAAGCACCAAAAGAAAGGGAACCAGTACTCACTGATGTTAGAGAATAGGAAGAGGGACTTTTGTACACTTGATATTAAAAGACCTAGAGGTTTGTAGTCTCAAACTCTTTGACACTAACATGAAGACAGAAAATGACAGTTCCAAGGCTTGCTGTGGAAGTTATTTTGTTTTTGTTGTTTGTGTGTGTGTGTGTGTGTGTGTGTGTGTGTGTGTGTGTGTGTGTGTGTGACATGTATCCTTGTAAATACCTCTGGCATAGCTAAAAAAGCTCAGAACAAACACCAAAGCTTTAAAGTATAGTGGACCAGTCAACCCATGAGCCTCAGCACTATCAACACACTCAACCATTCCTTAGAATGGTAAATCAGATTAGCAATCTGCAAAAACACTGTGCATCTCTCTCCCCTCACTACCAACCACTAGAAATTAATAATTCACAATTACAAATGCCTTAAGGTCTATAAACTCTGAGGGGGTTTTGTGATCATGTTTTGGGAAATGTTACATGTTATCTTTCACTGACTTCTGCAAAAATCACAGAGGGGAGAGGAGGTTTACTTTCTAACTTTTCTGGTAGATGATTAAATTCAGCCTCTGTTGGACCATTTCTGAGGACAGAGACAATTACCTCCATGTTACCCATTCCATTTCTGATAGTCTAAGTCGTGCCTCCTTTATGCTGCAATTTGCCTCCCTTACCTTAAACTACAGATATGATACTTCAGTTGTCTAAATCAACAAGAAATCCTTCAATGGTAAACTTGAAGAGTGGGTATCTGAAAATGCCAGATTCCACCACACAAACTCTGCAACTGCCCTTGTGGCCGGCTGAGGCTCACTTCTCTCCTTCAAACACTATATTACTCCTAGTCAGGTCTGCAGACTGATTCAAAAGTAACCACTTATTCTGTGCTATCCTAGATAAAACACAGAAACAGAGAACTGCTGCACACTCATGGTATCCCTTTTCATTCCTTTAGTAGGCACACATTATCACGGCAGTAACAATGCATTCTAAAGTACCCACACGTTTTTGTCTCCACAGACTCTACATACTATTCATATGTGTATGACGTGGCACATGCACAAGAGTCTTTTCCTAGTTTCAGTGCAAAGCTGTCTACTATTAAGCTATATCAATGCAGAATTCTTCCTATCATCTTTAATACAATAGTCCAAGAAGTCATTAAAAATCCACAACTTCCACCTGTCATACTATCTCCAAATTCATACCAGCCTAAGACTTTAGAGGATGTTACACAAATGAGTATTTATTAAGTGAATGAACAAATTTTAAAAAATAAGCATTTTTATGGTTTGATTATGACATGTATCTCATAGGCTCATGATGTGTTTGTTCCCAGATGATAATGATAATCTGGCTGGACAATGAATAGGAGGAGGGAATCTGGTAGAAATAAACTATTAAGGTTAAGCTTTTCAAGGCTATTCCGGGTAGCTCCAGCCTCTCTCTGATTCCTCATTTGCAGTGATGTGAGCAACCTCCATCAAATGCTCCTAACACACCATGAGCTGCCTCACCACACCTCCCTGCAATGATGGACTCAAACACTGGAACTGGGTCAAAACAAACCTATCCCCACTGTTAGTGTTTCTGTTAGGTATTGTAAGGACAGTGAAGCAAAGTAACTTTGCTTATTTCTTCTTTAGGCTTCATATACCTGCCTTCATTTAACTTATTGTAAAGATGTATCAAGATGAGAGAAGCATGATGGCTATTAGAATGATGAAGAGGATCTCTGCAGAAGGCTACTGCCTGACAGGATCAACTCTCCAATGCCTAGAGGAAGTACTGCATGAGTTCTCCCACACTGCCCAATTACATCCTATTTATTTACTCCAACAGAAGGCTTTCATTGAACCCTATTTTTCCTTAGTCCTCTAAAAAACATTTTATTGGACTAGAATTTGTTTAGCTTAGACAGAAAAACATAACGTAGAAGAGTTATGAAAGTTACTGTACCACTCAGGACCTGCCCAATTTATGTCCAAAGCACTCTAAGACCTCACACATAATAACTCCCTGTGTATTTGTCTTGTAAGACGAATAAATCCAGAGAAACAAATTCTCCATCTTATGTACACTGGTATCTGGTAACAAAGGCCAAGCTTTGCTCTTTACTTTTGCTACAAGGACCCTTAGCAACAACTTTGTTTATTTTAGGGGTATAGAGGACCATATGATTTCCTTCCATCATTTCTTCATCTCAGTTTTATTATTTGCACTACAATACACTCCAAGATATACTCCAGGATATACCATAAACCACTTGTGGGATGAGATAGTAAAAACAAAATTGAATTAAAAAAATATGTCATTGCAAACCACAAACGAGGTACAGCATAAGAACCTTTATCCTGATCCATGCATACTAATAGCAAAGTGTTTTAAAGCCTGGTCACAAATGGTAGACTGAAGACAGAAGTGTGAAGAGGGTTAAATAAACTAAGCTTGCAAAACTAATCTATACCAGGTGAAGCTATTACCTCAGGTGTTTTGGCTGTGAGCCCATTATATTACACGGTCCGATCAAATTCCATACTTTATCCTTTAAAATGGAAAGTACGCCTAGTGTCATATCACATCCCTTAACAGTATTTGTGAAATTTTACATGTTTAACTGATAAGCAAAATAAAACCAATAACTTAGTAGTTACTTTGTACAATATAATTTTTAAAAATTATAAAAAGTCAATTCATCAATTCCCAAATGTGAATCCTCTCCCCCAGTCATATTACAACTTAAACAACTCTTTACAATAGATGCAAATTTAATTTGTAAATCTAGAATTAAGCTACTGAAAAAAGAGTCCAGCTATAATTAGTTATTATAACAATTACATATCATGTATAACCTGAACTGGTTTAGGTGCCTTGAAAACCTGGCAAAATCAGCTTGGAGATAGACTTGTTAGTCAGGTTAAACAGAGAACAGAGGTAAAGCTGCAGTCAGAGCAACACTCACCTGCTCAAGTCACTTTTCCCATGGTGATGATAGTGATCAGGGTGGCTAAGGTGGTAATGCTCCTGTCCACTCCACCTCTGGGGTGCTCTTTTCCAAAATCCGTCCTGTGACTGTCGTACATTTCTGTCTGCTCGGTCAAAGCGATTCATATTGTCACACTCCACTAGGCAGATTAAAAAGTAACAGACTATAAATATGTTCACACTCTACAAAAACTTAACTACTTATGCTCTGATAATTAAATGCTGCTGAAAGTATTTATTTTTTTTTAATTCTAAAAGCACCAGCCATGTAAGCTAAGTAATCACAAAATAAAGTTTCCAAAGTGAAAACTGAACTTTAAACCTCCAAACTGAAGTAAATTATAATACTTCTGTATGAGCCACTTAAGTGAACAATTAACTGTTGGGCTGTTTTAAAACAAGGAACACTTCCCTGAAATCAACATTGCGTGTTTCAAATATAAGCAATCAGAAAATATATATATATATATAAACAATCAGCACAGGAAAGTGTACATCTTAAGAACAGCAGAGGGTCCATTCTTAGAAATGAGTGCCTCAATTTAAGCTTCTCAGCCTCAAGAAGCACAAATCTACCCTTCATCCTGGACGATCGTGTTTTTAAATAAAGCTCACCACTTTTAAACAGTAAGCTGCTCCAATCTGCCTGCAACAGAGCTGGCTCAGAAAGACAGAAATGCTACTGAAAACAAAGCCAGTACTTTGTAACAACAAATAGTCCACTCCTGAAACCCAGATACCCAGATACAAAAACTCGAGAAGAATCCCTGAAGCACCCAAGCTTCTTCACTCACCCAAATGCTCTGCTCTTACATCTCTGAGCACTCTCTGAGAAAGCTACTTGATACAAGGGAGACATTGTGTTGCCGACTGCCTACTCAGACATAGCTACACACAGGCGCTGCTGAAACAGGCCTTCCTTCCTGCTCCACTCCCAGCCCTCCCTGTGGGAAGCAAGCCCAGCCTGCCCTGTGACTCCATCTTCTCCCAATGCTTACATAGCTACTGAGTTAGGACTGTTACTAAAAATACTTCTAAACGCTATCCCAAGCTATGCAACAAGAAGGGCTTCTCCAGTCCAAGAACTACATGAAGGAGTTCAGAATTTCTTATGATGAACTTTACATATCAATAGAATTGTGTTTTTTAATTAACTTATTTTAAATGGCTGTTATCATTAGCCAAAAAACTTGGATTTAAAATTTGCTAATTGTTTCATTACAGAGAAGATAAAAAGGCTTCCCATTTATAAAAAGATATTGCAGAAAAAAAAGCAAACAACTTACGCATACTTTTGTAAAAACACTGAAATTTTGTTCGCATTCATGAGGAGGAATCAGTGAACACTAACACATAGTTTGTAGAGATAGCTTTTAAAAGAAGCCTAATATGAAATTACTCCCAATAACGTCTTGTTATTTTATTGTTAAAATCAAGTTGAATTTGAGTTATGGATAATAAATGGTATGATGACCACTCTGTTGAAAAATATCAGTAGAAATGAAGGGGCAAAGGAAAAAATTTAAACCCTGAGGTTTAAAGATAATTTCAGTTTAGCAAACTGAAATTTCAGTTCAGCAAACTCACAGTTGCATTACACTCAGATTCACTCACTGAGGCCCCCAGAGTATTATTTCACCTAACAGTTCAGCAGCTGATGCAAATACACATCTACTCTTAAATATTTTTTCCTTAATTGAAGAGGAGAAATTTCCAGTACCAAAGGAATCAATGTTGTTATTAGAATGACCTGTATATTCTCAGAATCAGAAAATCAGAAATATAATCAGAAAATCAGCACAGTGCAAAGAGTAGTAGGAGGCAAGCAAACCAGGTACGCAAGCTAATTACTAGAGCAATTCCAGAGCACAAGTTATTGCGGGGCTCTGGTGAACAGACTCCAAATGAGGGCTCTTTACTGAAGCTGGAATTCATTCCTAACGTCTGGTTAGCAGGAGAGACAAACATCCGCCACTACTGCAGAAGAATGAAGTTCACATCTAGACCTAATTTCTACAGAGGATCCTGGTTCTCCCAACAGTGCTGCTCCTAAGCTCTTTCCTCGATTTCTGTCCATCAAGCACATCTTTACAAACTTCAGAATCTAGCTATGATGGCAATATTAAAATACTAGTGGTGGTTACCTAGGCAAGATTAAGGTATTCCTTGACAGAATAAAAGGTATAAAATAGAAAAGAAATGGAAAACAACAAAATCACAAGAGGGAGATTGATAAAAATCTGGCTTCTGGGCCTAACAAGAGCAGCACATATCACTTTACAGGGAAAATAAGTTCCCTTGAATGTATAATGCTGCAAGGGTGATGGCGCCTGTGGTAAACCTCCAAGAAAGACTAAGGGCAATCCTAAAGCTACCTCAACTGAATACTAAAAGCCAAGATGCTGATCCAAAAATATCCTTTGGCCAGACCAGACCCTAACTACAACCTGAAGCTGTTTCTGGAGAGTAGTCTCCTTCCTGCTAAAGGTCACTAGTTCCAATGGCAAAAAGCAGCATATGTTAGTTGTAGGACTGTAAAAGACAGACAGCATCAGGGTTCTAACCCACTGGAGAGGGAAAGAATATAATTAGCTAACAGGTAGATATATGATATGTGGATCCTGTCATTCTGGGTGTCATTTTTCCTTGTTTGATAAAGGAATAAAACATGATACTCAATGTATCCTAGATTTCTTTTTTCTCTTACATTAGAGCTTTCAAGTCCTAAGAGAGATAATATGACACAGATAGTAATTTGTATATAAGTAATTGGATGAGAAATAGGATGACATTATAACTGACAGCCTGAGGAGGCTTTACATTACCAAGAAAGTTTTCAACTATAATTTAATGTTAAAAAAGAATCATTTAAGTGAAAAAAATGATAAACTGAATTAGTTAACAAGCTACTGGTACAGAAAGATAAATTTCTAGGAAAAAAAAAATAAGTAGCTGGAAGCAATCAGGAATAAGATGAGCCTCATGTATCTTCATACAGAGTGTAGCAAAAATGTGGCTGGATGGATTTAAATATAGGATAAGCATAATTTAGTCAGCAATTAAACTTTGTGTGGGATTCATGTAAATCATTAGAAAAACATCTTTCAAAGTCTAAGTCTAAACAGAATGGCTAAAATGATTAACAGTATACAGAGAAAGTATTCACTAGGGCAATCCACTAACCTGAGGATTACATTCTAACGTGCCAAATGCCAGGTGTGTGTTTGTGGGCGATGGCTGGCCATCAGAATTTCCTAAACAAGAGGAAAAGGCAACACAGCTGCATTTCTGGCATACCAGAAATATTGAGAAACACTCTACAACAAAAAGAGGCCCTACAACAGAAAGGACCAATTGTAAACATCTAATAGCCTTCCAAAAGAAATTCAGATTGCAAAACTGTTTCCTTATGAAATTCCTTGGTCTACTAATTCAGGTCAAGGTTTAAAAAAAAAAAAAAAAAAAACAGCTTGTAAAATTAAAACATTCTGTTATTAAGTACAAGCTTTCCAACTCACAACTCAAGCCTAAATGGTTCTTGATTCCTCACCCACAATTCCATACCTCTTTGATTTCCTTCTGAAGGACCTCTCTCTCTGACCTCTTAAGTGTGATATCTGCTAAAGCTAAACATTTTCAGAACAGGGAAAACTGTATATAGTCTGTTCTCAGCTCAGAGGGCACGGCTAAATAATTTAAAAGATCTAAATGGCATTGGAAAATAGCCTCAAGGAAATCTAGACTAGCTCTTAGGAATCATAATCATAATTAAAAGACTCTCTGCAAAACCATAAAGATGTAAATCTGTGTAAAGAATGTGACAGTAGTTTATGAGCCCATGATGGCAGGCAGGCATGAGGGTGCTTGGAAGCAGAGGCAGGCAAATCTCAGTGAGTTAAAGGGTATCCTAGTCTACAGAACACATTACAGGCCAGCAAAAGCTACACAGTTAGATACTATCTCAAGAAAAAAAAAAAAAAGTCAATCAAATAAAAACCTACAATGGTGGAGTGCAAAAGACAGTACAGAAAAGGATTTTCAAAGTCTTTCCTGTGATTCAGGCTCTGATTGAGCTGATTCAGGCCCACAGGGGAGAGGGGAGAGGTGACAGCTAAATTCCCTGCAAACGTCAGGGTCAGTGAACACCATCAGAAAGCATGCACAAGACTCTAAACAAATGTTACCCAGTCTTCCTCACCTGATGGGAGATGCAATTATGTATATATGTTTCTCATACTGGTTAATAATAAAGCACTGTTGGCCAATAGGAAAGGAAGATAGGAGGGACTAGGAGACAAGGAGGAAATAGGAAATAGTAAGGAGGAGTCAAGATGGAGAGTCTGAAGAAAGCAGTATGCCGCCGGCTCCCCGGTAAGAGAAATACATAGATCAGCACAAATGGGTTAATAATTAAGGCAGAGCTAGCCGATAAGAAACAAGTAACAGGGCCAACAGTATTGTACCAAATACAGAGTCTCTGTGTATTATTTGGGGCTGGTGGCGTGGCGGCGGGACAAGACCAGCGGCGGCGGGCGGAAAAACCATACACATTACACTCACCCTCTATGAAATAAAAACATTATTTCTGGGATGATCTGGGATGAGCCAAAGAACAAAGCAGAATGGAGCTAGAATAAAATAATATCCTACACAGCAGACAGACACTCTACCCCAGTCACTCAGAGGAGGGACACTGGGTCTCTGAACACCCTTTCCTTTCCAAAGACATTAGGGAGAGAAAAAGAAAACTTGGCAATTAATAAAGTGTTCTTAGGGGAAGTAGAACACTTGACTGCCTGCCTTACTTTTGACTCTACATAAGCTTCTCCAAAAACCTAAAGGAGCTTTGCAAATGTTTTATTTTTATCTAAAACACCTTATTGTAATAAACTCCCAAATAAAAGCACTGCACAACTAGATTAAGGGAGCCACTCAAACACACACTCCATGGATCTTTGAACTTCTATACAGTTAGAATAGCCATTCTAAAGCCATGGAGTTTCACAAGTTTGTTTCACTTTCACTATCAACTACATTTTTTGTGTACTTACCCAATATAAAATAAGAAAAAAAAAAAAAGGACAGAGTCAAAATCAGAAAAACACTTGGCTTTATATCCTCTTTCAGTACTCAAGTGTCCTTTGACCTGTATTCTGTCTTTCTTTGCCCCTTCTCAGTCTCCTTTACAAATATATTACAGTACTTACAGTATGAAAATGTTTTATGTACCTACCAGTAAGTGATAGAATGTTCTATTAACATACATAAACTATACCACTATCCTAAACATCATTACTGTTACATACCCATCCAAGGGCCACTAAAACACTCAGAAGTGAACACCCCCAAATCCTAGAATTTAACTGTTCAGCAAGCATTAGACTAACACACATCCTTTCCTCCCCTGGATAGCAGACAAAAAGACCTGCACAAAATGCAATTATCAAATAAGCACTTTCCTTATGACTTCTTTAAAATCATCTAGAAAGTGATTAGAGAGATGGCTCAGTGGGAAAAATTATTACTCTGTAAGCAAGAAGTCCACAGTCCAGAACCCTCATGCACCCATACAAAACAAAAAACAAAAAACAAAAAACAAAAAACAAAAAAAAAAAAAAAGGGCTTGGCATTGGGTGCCTATACCCGCCAGCACAAGGTGGGTGGGTGGAGACTAGAAGATGCTGGTGTTCAATGACCAGCCAGCCAGTCTAGGCTACATGGGGAACAGCAGGTTCACAGAAGTAACACTGTCTCAAACAATAAGGAAGTGAACAATAGAGAAACACACCCATCATCAACCTCTAGTCTCTGCAATGATACACATGGACAAGAAAATACACCCCCACATACATGCATATACATGCTACCCAACGAACTATTTTTAAAACAAAGGACCACCTATTTTTAATGAGGTCATAGTAACATGTACCCAAACCAAATCCAAATGGAAGGTCTCACTGATTTTCCCATCTTCTTGGGCACAAACACCAATAATACTGGCAGAATAAGTGAAGCTGAAACACCTGAGGGCTCAGCCAACCAATACAGTCTGTTCTTAATCTTGTAAAACTACTTCAAATGGAAAACAGCCAATAAGCACTAAAACCAACAGTCATCAGCATGTTAAAAGATACCTAACCTACCAGTACCTCCACATTCTTATCTCCCAAAGAGATCTAAAAAGTATTTTCTACCTTTCTAAAGTGGTAATAAGTACTACTTTACTAGGGTCCCTACTGACAGAACTAATTTTAGGCCCACACTCTGCTCTTTTTGGTGTCCTTTTAGTTCAAAATAGCCAATATTTGTTTGTTTTCTCCTAGGAAAACATCTGTACCATATGTGCAATGTTAATGGAGTCCCTGACTATTTCTCCTGAGAATGCAACAAAGGATTCAAAGACCTACAGCTTCTCTGTGATTCCACATCTGTCTAACGTGAGAGTAGCTAGGCTCTGCTCTAGAATTGAGTTGAGTTATAAGACTGGTTTGATCTGCGCTTTGTCTATCAGCTCAAAAAGGGAATAATATTTCCAAAGAGAAGTTGTAGTAACCTATCAAGTGACACACACTTCCTATGATGTGACTTATCCCAAAGAGGGAAATCCCTCACCATTCCCTACCAGTCTTGAAAAAAGAATAAAATGCGATCAAACATGTCACATCTCCTGTACCATAAGGTCTTGTTATTAAATGGTCAGTCATTTTCAATGGTTTACATTTTATTTTCCCTTTGTGTGCCAGCAGTGTTTAACTTGGTCTCCCAGGTCACTAACTCAGACTTCTCAACAGCAACTATGTTTTCCATCACCCATTGAACTGCTATAGTGTTATGAGGAATCCTGTTCCATAGATCTAGAAAAACAGTGATTCCCTAAGCGCCCTCCTTATAATCTCCCTGCACTAACCCTAAGCCTGGCAGTTCAGCTTTCTATTCCTCCTAGTGTTGGCTATGATTTCTTTCTTGGGACTGGAATTCCATCCTGGTTGCAGAAGTGTCCCAAGTGCCAGAAGCACCACAGGACAGTCTAACAGTCTCTACTCCTACAATAACAATGACCAATACCCTCAGTGCTTCACTTAACAGATTGGTAAATCCAGGCTCAGTCATGGCCTGCTTGTTGTGAGTGGTTTCAGTGGGGTAGTCAAAACACTTGCTGTCATCAGCAGAGCATGGTTAAAATGAGTGTCCTGATTTTAAGCCTAAGCTGTGAGTTTCTGCTTTCCCTGTTATACTTCTGAGATTTATCATAATAATAACCAACCCAAAGTAGTGCGGATCCTAAAATACTAAACTCCTCAGTAATCTTCACAGTTTCATACATTATGTCATGCCAGGCAATTCAGAATTCATGAATCAGGGAAATAAATACATGTTAATTCTGCAGACTGTTAGAGAGGACTTTTTATGGAATTAAAAGAAAAAAGTCCAACCAATGGCAATATGACTGATGTGGTGGTAAGAAGAAAGCACATTTAGAACAAACATACTCAGTTTCTGAAAAACCTTCACTGTCCTAGCACCATGGATAAAAAAAAAAAAAAAAAACACCCCTTCTTTCCCTTCTTTGTACTTTCTCCCTGGCTCTGGGGAAGCCTGGGACACCACACAAATGGGTACTGACAGGAAATCCTCAGATCTCTGGAGCCATTATTTCCAGAATAGCAGGATTCCCAGTTCAACCCTGATCCTAAGAGTGTTTCTGGCTGTCTTACTAGTTCCTAATATAGTAACCCTGTATATGCTATACCACTGAGGACAAGAGTCCTTTTGCATATAGATTGTCTAAAACTCTACCTTGCTGGTTATGGGAACACAGGGAGAAAGATAGACTAAAATTAGGAGTCACCTTCATTCAGAAGATGATTACTTTCCCAGAACTGACCTTAAAATAGTTATCAAATTAATACTATTATAATGCTTTATAAAACAAGTGTTTCTCTAAATAGATTTCTTTTGGAATTTAGAATGAAGCAAAGTGAGGAAAAACTAGGCATTCAAACACACGCACACACACCATGTTTAGATAAAGGTATACAATGTTGCTGAATCATACAAAATTATATTTAAGACCCACCACATAATCAGGTTTTAAACATGTAACAAGTAAACCTCTCTTACACCAACAGAGATGGATTCCCAGTCTTGACTTAACAGTTATTAAACTGGTTACAACCCAGCCACTCACACACATACATCTGCAGACTTAGCAATCTTAACTTACCATTTTCAAGAGGTGCATCCTCCGGCAAATCCACATCCAGCATAAGATCATCATCCTCAAGGTCACATGATTCAAGATTATTCAGAATATCCTATGAATAAAAGTGGTAAAACAATATGACCTTACCCAAGGACACATAAAATCATTCATTTTGAAAGTATCATCATATAATAACTTGGTTTATTCAGTATTTGTACTGTAAGAATAAAATAGTTCTGATTTTTAAAAGTACTTTTAAAAATTCATTTGTACATTAACTTTGAATTTTGGACCCCCAGCTGAGGAAGGAAAACAGTAGGATGCAAATGAGATAAAGGAAAAATGAGAAAAATACAGACCTTTAACTCAGGGGAAGAAAGGGAAGTTAATACAAAAGCAGCAAGAAGGAGAAGGGGGAAATAACACTAGCATGTTCGAAAGAAGATAGGCAATTTTTATTTTACATTTGTCTATATAACACATGCAAGTATATGTCTACACATACATTATGTAGTTTAAATGAAGTTGCACCACTTGCAGTGATCAACACTCCCCATGAGAACCCTAGCTAACAAAAACCCCAGTACAGGAATGAGAAACTCAAGTTGTTGGTCAAGAGTCCAAGAGATTTCTACTGTTGTTGCCCTTGGTTACTTCTAAAAGCTGGAAGTAAATCCCTACTGCTAAAGACACCATGCATTGTGGACACAGAACTCAAAGGATTTAAGCTGGAACTGACCCAAATGCTTCTTTCCTGAGGACTAGGTACTATACAGTACAAGGTGATTGTGTGATCTGCTAGAGGAGGGCAACAGACAATGGTCAATGGTCCTACCCAGCTGTGAAGCTTATGAACCACTGCGAAGCCCAAAATGGCAAGCTAAGGAACAGTTGTGGCACTCATATCTTGGTGGTAACCACAAGCCATCTAATTGGACTGAAGACTCACTTAACAGGAGGGAATCATGCCTGGTATTGTGACCAACTGCACATACCCCCTGAGATTATAGACTAGAGCAGAGCTACTTCTGCCACTTTCCTAGACCAGTGTAACTCTTAACTGCATTCTAAATACTTACTTTTTGTTTTGCTATTTGTTTGTTTGTTTTTCCAAGAGTTCGAGAACTCTTTCTGTAGACTAGGATGGCCTCGATTACAGATCCACCTATCTCTGCCTCCTGAGTGCTGGGATTAAAGGCGTGCGGCACCACTTCCTGGCCTAAATATTTAATCTTACACCCACAGTTAAGTATAGTTCACCTCTCATCAAAGAAGCTTCTTTTTGAAGCAGGAGACCATTACGGAAAACCACAGTTAGTCAAAGATGCAGAAAGCAACTGGCCATGGACACCAGCCAGAAGTGGTATACCACAACACAACTTTTACAGCCAAGGCCTAGGGAACATCACAGAAGAGAGAGCAGAAAGATTCTAAGAGCCAGAGGACCAGAAGTTTGCTGTGAGGCTGTGCCTTCTAGCTATGACAGCAAAGCTACATCTATGAAATCTCAACAACATGGCAGCCTGAACAAGAACTTGACAATTCCAAAGCAGATGGAGGCAGTCCTACAGGATCCCACCCATAGCTGAAGAAGCCCAATCAATTAACTCCTCATTAGTTATCCAGTACTGAGTGCTCAGCCCTAGAAAAATATACATGCAGGCAATATTAAATAGACTCAGCAAGATAAATTTCTCTGTTGACCCATGTATATGTATTAGGTATTGGTATATGTAACAAGGGTTCAAGAAGTGGAAGGCATGGATTAGCGGAGCTTAACTCCTGGTAAGAAGGACAGGAAAGTAGTAATCTAATTAATTTTAATTAAATTCTAAAAATCATATACAATCCTCTATTTTAAAAAAATCTGGCTGTGATAAGTTGAGTACTTATCAAACTAGATGGCACTGGGTGTCCCAAACCAAAAATGACAATTAAGGCCAGAGCATAGTATTCTAAGTCCACAGCAGAGCCAAATGAGGTACACCCAATCAACAAAAGCAGTACTACCAACAACTGCTAAAATAATATCTAGCCTAACAATGCTGTACATGTCACAAAAGTTGAGAAGGGTCAGCAGAAATGGTATTTACCCCAGCCATAGGACCTGCTAATGGGAGTTAGTTTTCTGCTTCCACAGTCCACTGACCTACACACGTACTATGGTATACATGCACATACACATGCATGATTTATCACATATACACAGGCATGCATGTGCACACACACACACACACACACACATATTCAGTAAATAAATGTGAAAAAATTATATCTAAACTATAATTGCTTTATCTGTGCTTTTATTACACATTTGTTTTATAATGAAAAGGTTTGTTTTTTTTTTTTTCAAATAACCTTAAAAACAGGGTCTAAGCCTGCTATAATGAAAAAGTAATAGAAAAATCATAATATAACCTTGAGGATTTACTAAAGCCTATAAGACTATAAAAAGGACAGTCTTATTAGTGGGGGAGGAGGAAGTATCAACATTTAATGCTTAGCACAAATCATTACATATGCTATTTCTGGAATCTGTCTAGTTTTATGTTAAGATGTTCTGTGAAATGAGAGGCATCTAGGAGAAAGTATAGGAGTGAATTAAATATGCACAAATGTCTACATATTTAAAAGGGAATAATAAACCATTCTATGAGATCATACATGCTTATGCTCTTATTCTTTTTGATATTTCTGTAGTAAAGACATACTGCTTTTATTAGACTTATTTAACAGTAAAATTCAATATTAGATAAAAGTTTTCTTCTTATTGACAGTAAGGAAGTTCATGTAAACCCTGGCCTTGCATATTACCACTTGGCATATTACCAATAGTTTCACAAATAAAATGCCAACACATATGAAGAACTATTCTACAACAGGGTGAACATAGGCAAAGAAGAATAAAAAATTGTCAAGAACTGAGAGGTTGTGATTTGAAATAAAGAAATGTTATTGTGGCTCTAACACTGAAAACAGGTATCAGTGGGGGCTGGGAAAACAATGTTGTGGCTACTGTTGAATCCATAGGACACATACACTAGCCTGACAGTGCTGGTGACAATAAAGTAGTTCTGATACACATTGTGGAGTGGACACATAACATCAAAGTAACATAACAAGCAAAGTCCATGTAAGATTGGAATTTGGGCTTAAAAACCAGATACTTAAAAACTGATGCCTAATAGCTAACACATAAAACGTGAAGAACCAGCTGGGTGGTGGTGGTACGTGCCTTTAACTGATTCACTTGGGCAGAGGCAGGGGGATCTCCCAGTCTACAGCACAAGTACCCAGACAGCCAGGACTACACAGAGAAACCCTGTGTCAAAAAGAACCCAATACAAGAAAAAGTGCAGAAGGAAGGAAGGAAGGAAGGAAGGAAGGAAGGAAGGAAGGAAGGAAGACAATGACTGACACCCGCCCCCACACACAAAAATGAAGGTTGGTTTTAGTAGGAAAACAAAAAACTGAACACAAAGTTTTAGAACTCAATAATTTTGATGTACCTATTCCATTTCTGAAGAGACATGTCTCTAGCAGACAACTGAATATAGAGGTCTGTTGGGCAAAAAGATGTACAGCATGGGAGTCATCAACAAATAAATGAGCACTGGAAGATGTTAAACTAATGACTGTCTCAGAATGACACCAGCAATATTCCTGGGTCTTACTACTGTGAGGTCCAGGAAAAAAGTAATGAAGTGTAATTTTCCTCACCATTATCTGCACAGGGTAAGCACTACATACTACAGAAAGAGAGGAAGTCATGTGCATGGAGAGGGTCCACATCCCTGCTGCAGTCTCTCCCTGTGAACCCATTGGAGTCTGCTTCTACCAGCTCCTGCTTTGGTTTTATTAACTCCACTTTTTAGTTACATGCATATCTGTGTGCTAAGAGTGTCTGGTGCATAAAAGGTAGGAGTCTTTCTCCTCTGAGCTGATTTTTCACATCTGTCAAAGTATGTGTCCTTGTATTTTCTGACGTTGCCATCATGTTCCAATGAATTGTGTGACCACTCTTGGCTGATACTGCCCTAACAGACAGATCTTTAAAATGAGGTAGTGTAATTCTTGCAATTTTATTTAATCTTTTCAAACTATGTAGTTTGTTTTTCCTTGTGTATAACTGAGCCTGTCTCTATTCACATAAGGTTTTGGCTGGTATTATTCTAAATGTACACATCATGTAAGTGTAGAATAATGTCATGGCATCTCATACCCCACCAACACTACATAACTCTGCATTCTTTAACTCTCTTTTCATTTCTTTCTTCAACTCTATTCTTCAGATACCCTGTGTACATCCTATTAGATGTACACCTAGGTATATTTTAAGATTCTATTTTTGTTAATTCTAGTTCCTAGCTATCAAATTAGTTTTTTGTTGTTGTTGTTGTTGTTTTTGCCTTTTTCCCCCCTTTAGAGACAGGGTCTCACTACATAGATCTGACCTGGTCCTCCTGAGAAGTATGGGAATTACAAGCACAAGAAGAAATAAAATATTTACATATTTACCTTGTACTTAGAAAACTTAAAAATTGTTACTACTCAAAGATTCCATGAGATTTGCTTTATAAACCATGATGTCATCTGAAAATAAAAATTTTAACTTTGTATTGTATTGGCCAAATCTTTGTTCAACAGGTATATGCTGCATAAGGCATTTCAGCCAAGGCAGACTACATACATTAACACAACAGTGGTCTCCTAAGATTATACTGTCTGATGAAATTGTAGCCACCTTAGTATATTCCATGACATTCACAAAACAACTAAATCGCCTAACAATATATTTCTCAGGACATCTCCCCATCAATAAGCAACAAATAACTCAATACTGATTAAGGGTAGAGGAGGTCCATTCATTCATTGTCAAATTAGCTGAAAACCATGTCTTCTTAATTAGGCCCACAAGGTAACTAAAAGCAGAATGAATCCCCATTTTTGCATCTGCATCCCTTATTTTAAGGCAAGACTGTTCTTTGGCTCTACACAGGCATGACAATCAAAGACAGAAATGACTCTAAGGTAAAGTCTTCTCCACCTGTCTCATAAGCCTCATGGGAAGGTCTAGCTACAACCTGGAGGCCATGTTAGAGCTGAGCAGGC